GGCTCGTGTACACCTTGCACGTGAGTGTTCATACTTCATAGGATTCCCTGTGAGAAATTTCCTTGCACTTGCATTTCACGCTCACCAAAATACTTGCATTTCATTCTGGCATAGGAACCGTAAGTTTTTCAAGCATCACGTGAAATTATAGTGGCATTTGTGCGGGACTCTCAAAGTGAAGATTAATATATGCTGCTTTTGATTTCGAATGTACATGAACAATTATATGTTAGCAACATTTATGAAAATATGGATCAAGCACTGGATTTTTCTTTGTCATGATCATCCAGGACAACTGTTGATCAGAACAATAATAATAACAATAACTTGTCATTTGATATATTTGTGATAGTACAACCAAGAAAAAGTGGTAGCTCTGCTGACTCGACCAGCCCCAAATAACATGGTGGTTGTCGTAGTAAAACAGCCCTATCGTTTGGGCGCCTTAAACGGCAGGGTGACTCTCTGTTGAGGACATTTTGATATCTAGCTCGCGCCCAAACGAACAACCATTTCTTGTTTTTTTAAATCATGGGACCAAATTAATCACAATCCCATGCAAATCTTCAAGAAGCTCAACAAACGAAATATACCATAATAACAGTGTTATGACCTCCAAGAAAAAATCAGTATAACAGTGCACTCTTCTAATTTTTTCATGAACTGTCAGCACGATATCTACCTCTTTTTATTGAGGGTTATCTTTGTGCCTACCGGTCTCTTAAATGGACGCAGATCTTTTTCCCCACCTAAACTTCTCTTCAGTATGACCATATAATTATTCTCCATCTATACAGTGGTTGAGACTCCATTAACAAGATACTTTCATAAATATCTCAAGTTATTAGGTAAATATAAAGATCATGAGAGATATAATAATTACAATATTCACTCTCTTAAATCCCTGTTCTCGTGATTATATTTTTTTTTTATATATAATTTACTAACTTAATATCGAATAGTCTTCTATTTCAATAAAGTACTGGCTTGCCAAACTTATACCTCATATTGAAAAACTCAAATTCAGTTTGAAATTTTTATGATGCATTTAATATCTCGTATATGATCTAAGAGCATCTCCAATGTAAAATGCTATTTTGAAAAGCTAAATTGATAAAATGGCATTTTGAATAGTATAAATATAACTTATCTTATTATATCTATTCCAATGAAAAAAAGCCATTTGAAAAGCCATTTGTATTAGAGTGAAAAAAACAAGTGTTTTATTATTTCTTAATATGTTTAATGTTATTTTTTTTCCACATGTCTACATTTAATTGATTTATTTTTTTAGTGGTCCTACTTTGTTGGTTTTGGCTCTTTGAAGAGATATGTAGAAATAGCATTTGTAGGAGAGAAAAGACATTTTAGCATTTTGTTTGGCTTCTCCCTTGGAATGTACAAAACAAACAAAGAAAAGCCAAAATATTAATTTTTTATTTTTGACTATCCATTTAGCTTTTCCATCAGAGATGCTCTAAGGGTCCAAGATTTAGAAAATCTATAAGTTTCAAGCATCATTCTTTTTTTAAGAAAAAAAAAACAGAATCTACTATAAGATTACGAGTGAAAGCATGAAATAATATCTTTTTAGAAGTCAACAATACAGTGGATTTGCGCCAGCATCGTGGATATTTATGATTCATCTTTGGACAATTGATCATGTACAAGTGTTCTTGTTAAGTAAAAGAGGTAAGGTGAGGTGCTGTGTACAAATTCCACCTTGTTAAATATATCCTTGACTAATTTCATAAGCGATAAGAATGAAGGAAAGAAGAACTCTTGTTAATTGCATTAATCATGACAAGGTCATCCGTGATTATCCATGACAAACTTGTCAATGAACAACGTCTTTTGCTGTCTTTATTTCATCACTCACTCAAAATCTCAGAGCTATCTTAACAATTATATCAAATCGGACGGCAAGAGTAGAGTTTCTTCTGGTTCGAGAAGTTTTTTGTATCGGAATATTGCAAGGACTGATAGAAATCTCAGAGGTATCTTAATAATTATATCACTTCAAGAACTGATGGAAACTACAGCAACAAGAAACAAGCGCCATTACTCTATCGAGTTTTTGTACACAAATCTTAGCTTTGCCTATTTAGCATAGAGAAAAGAATTCCTTATTTACAAAAGAGCATGGATTAATTATCAGACTAAAAAAAAGTTGATAATTAACCACTAATAGATGTTATTGTCTTACCTGTAAAGGTTTAATTGCAAAGCTGGGTTGAATCTTTCTACTCAGCACAGTAAAATGAAAAAAAACAAACAAACAAAAATAAAAAAACTATGGACTTAGTTTATTCAAATCATTTTGGGACTGCTGGTGTGAAATTTGGAAGTTCAAATAGGTGGAAGATCCCATCATTGATGGTGTTGGTTCCAACTGGACTCGGGCTTTGTTCCGTAAAGTTCAAGGAAGGTGTAGGGCTAGGACCCAAAGAGTGTCACTGTTCGCTTTGCTATATTTTTTTGTGGACTTGTGGGCTGGACAGTGACATTTTGAAACAGAAGCAATTCACTCTAGAATTGTTGTAAATAAATTTATTTTATAACTTTGTTTTCATATCTAAAATAAAAAATATTTAGGTCCTGTTTATTTTATAAAAAAAGATTTTTTCTAGAAATTATTTTTCAAATCTTCTTTTATTTGTTTACTATTAAAAAGTTAACCAATAAAAAATATTTTTTAGTAAAATAAAAATTAAGTTTAGTTACTTGAAAGTGTTTTTTTTTATTTTAGGTGAAAAACACTTTTTAAAATTTGTAAAAAATTTAAAAATATATTATTGTTTATTGATTTTATCAAGTTTGGTCTTCAATATTTTAATTGTTATATATTTTATTTTAAATTTTTTTCTTCAATTTTATCACTTAAAATTTAATTTATTTTAGTTTTTATATCAACTTAGCAAATGTATATTCCAATCAATTATTCCAAGAGAGGGAAACTAACATGATCGACAGATATAAGTGGCGGGTTGGGTGGCTGACTTTGTAAAAGGGGTGGCTACATTTGCCAATTAATTGGGAGAGTAGGGCTACCGTTTTGAAAGAGAAGGAAGAAGAAGAAAGGGGTAAGAGAGAATTATCAGGTTTTAATTTATAAAAAATTACTGATGAAAAATATTCGATTATCATTTTTATCAATAATTATTGACAAAAATATTCTGTTATTATTTCTATCGTATTTTCATTCATCTAGTGAGTAAAATAGAAAGGAGAAAAGAAGAAGAAGAATGATAGAGATTAGAGAAATACAATAAAAGTAAAAAAGAAGAAGCAAAGATGAGGCATTGAGGATCAATCGGGAAAAGAGATTAGAGAGTGGTGTGGCAGGAGCTAGCCAGCTTTAGGCCGCAGAGGGCAGGAAGGGGGTGGGGATTAAGGATTGCTTGTTGATTATCTGCAATTTTTCTTGCATGGTCTGGAAAACATAGCAAGACAGAGAAGAACGCCTGCAAAGACTTCAACATGGTAAAGCCTAGGAACCTGCCATGATCCAAATAACTTAGATACCTAGTTACCAACTACCCACTACATCAAGATTCTTGATCAGAGACAAGGACATAGAGAGAGACAGAAAGAGGTGAACAAAAGTGAATGTTGGGTTTACTCTAAGTGAGATTTGGTTTAGTACTAATTAATTCTGCATGAGAATTAGGAGTATTCGCTCACTATTCAAGTCCATATGTGTCTTTGAAGTCTTAATTAAGAGAATCAAATAATTACAAAAAAGGAAGAAGTTGATGACTTTGAAAAAGGCTCACACCCTCTCAATCTTTTCCCTGCATATATACTCATTAATTTGTACGTAGTGGCTTGCTAGCTGCTAATAATTAATTATATTTGTCTTCCTGAAGGGAGTTTTTAGCACTAGCTTTAAATTTCTCTACTTGCTAATGGAGTGCTTGATCTTCAACAACAATCCCTCTCTCTTTCATTATGTGTCCTTCACCATCTTCTTCTTCTTCTTCTCATTTGTTGCACTCTTCAATCCCTTCACTTCCAAGACTATATGTCTAGGTAAGCTCCAATTCTCACCAATTCTCTCTCCACTCTTCTTTAAACTTCCATGGTGATCATCGATGGTGTTAATTGTTCTTACCCCATTTCCATTTATACACTAACATGTATTAATTGAATTTCTTGCAGGCATAATTAAGGTGCCTATTATCTGAAAATGCTGATAATTTTTATTTCCAGGTGATTGCTGTACCAATGCCATTATTGCTTCTTACCTTTTCATTAATTTCCCACATGGATATGGCTTTATCAATAGTTTAATTTTAAAGAATTTCCCACCTCCATCCATAAAATTTTTATCAAAAAGAAAAAATTAAATGACGATCTTCTGATCTTGTAACCATACAAATTAACAGCTATGCTGAGCCCTCTGATGGAACCATCAGCCATGTGTTTGAATGTTTGGATCTCCTAACACATCAGCCATATGTTTTGGATTTATTATTATTAGGGTAAACTATGCCAGTCTCATCCAGCGCACATTAGCCAGATTGAAGATTCATTTCCTTATTTATTGCCTCACATGTGTCCTGTTTCCATGAATGCTGATAACTTGTGCCACCCGGTTTAACCGAAACCATGACCATGCACTCTAAATTCCATGTCCCATCTATATATCAATGTCAAGTCGTGAAGGCTAGTGCTCCTAGTTCTAGGCTGTATTTTGTGTGCACCTTAGCACGTGTAATGATATTCACCAAGTGGGAAATTGAGCAGGTGATCATTGTGTACAAATTCTTATGTATACTATGCACATGATTGGTACTATGCCAATCATTGATTGAATAATTTTTTTTCCAAGAAAGCTGTGCTAATTATTAGATAATTAATGGGGTTATTGTTAAGTTCACAGAATTATAATAAATCACATAAATTTACCTTGAAAACAGTTGTTTAAGTTCCTATATCAGGTAGTGTTAATATCATATTCTTTACATAATAAAGTAAATTAGGGAAACCTATAGATGTTCCTATCCTCCTCAACATTCATCATGGTAGGATTAATAATTAACTGTTAACATTTTTGCTCCATATAGTCACCACACAAGCAAGTAATTTCAACAATTCGAGTTCCTGTCTTCTCTCTCTCTCCGTTAAAAAACAATTATCTAGCTAACTGCATGATTATATATCATCATGGCATGTACAACTTGTTCCCACATTTGCACCTCCATGCTTCTGGGTAATACTCAGTGGTAACCGGAGTCCCCGGCGGCATAGCCACATGCACCGGCTTGCATGGGGTGCAATTGCCACACTTGGACGTGCACCGCGGTGGAGATGACCCTGGCCCACTCAAAAACCTCCTTGCCATGCTCGAAGAAACCTCCTTTTGTTCATCATAGCCTGATCTTGTCTTCTCAAACTCCTACAAAAATACCATAACCCCATTAATTATCTAACAATTAACACAGCTTTCTTGCAAAAAGTCAATCAATCGATGACTAACATAGTAGCAATCATGTGCATTGTACACATAAAAATTTGTGCACAATAATTACCTAGCTCAATTTCCCACTAGGTGAATCACCCTTACATGTGCTAACGTGCGCACAAAGACAAGCCTAGGACTAGGAGCACTAGCCCTCGCTAGAAGACATTGGTAGATGAGACATGGAATTTAGAGTGCATGGACATGTACCGGTTAAACCGTTGGGCATTGGTGGCGCAAAGTTACCGGCATTCATGGAAACAGGACAAATGTGAAGAAGTAAATAAGGAAATTAATCTTCAGTCTGGCTAATGTGCGCCGGACAGGTATGGCATGGTTTACCCTTGAAGGAACAACTAGTACATTCCTATATTATACTGTACACTGTGATGACTAGTAAATCCAGATCATATGACTGATGTTTTCACTGGATCAGGGGGGGTCAGCATAGCAGTTTGTATGGTTACAAGATCAGAAGGTCATCGTTTATTTTTTTTTCATTTTGATAAATACTAGAAGATTAAAATTTTGAGGATGTAGGGACTATGTACTGACAAGACATAACTTACTTGATCTTTCATCATAACGGGAGACAAAGCATGTATTGGAAGTCTTGATCAAATATGTTGAGTAGAACAAAAATAAAAATAAAAATTAATCATATGGGAAACTATTTAAAATTAAATTATCGATGATATAATGCATGTGGGAAATTAATGAAATTGATAAGAAGCAGTAATGGCATTGTTACAATGAAGTATATTGTAGGTAAGTGAAGTGCAAGCAAATAATTAAAATTAATTAATAACCAAACTCACCTGAAAATAAAAACTACCTGCCTTTTCAGATAATAAGCACCTTATGCCTGCAAGGAATTCAATTAATACATGTTAGTGTATAAATGGAAATGGGGTAAGAACAACTAGCACTACAGTGAAAATAGTGAAGTAAAATGAAGATGGTTGATGATCACCATAGAAGTTTAAACAAGAGGAGAGAGAGAATTGGTGAGAATCGTAGCTTACCTAGACATGTAGTATTGGAAATGAAGGGACTGAAGAGTGTAACAAATGACAAGAAGAAGAAGAAGAAGAAGAAGATGGTGAAGGAGACATAATGAAAGAGAGAGGGCTTGTTGTTGAAGATGAGTGATCGTTTTCTCTTCAAGCATTCCATTAACAAGTAGAGGGACTCAAAGCTAGTACTAGAAATTCCCTTTAAGAAGACAAATATAATTATAAGCAGCTAGCTAGCCACTACGTGCGTACAGATGAGTATACATGTAGGGAAAGGATTGACAGAATGTGAACCTTTTCCAAGGACATAAACCTCCTTCCTTGTAATCCCTTGACTCTCAACTTGGATTCTACAGTAATAGCCACATATGACTTGAATAGTGAGGGAATACTCCTCCTTCCAATTCCCATGCAAAGCTCGTACTAAACCAAATAGCTAACATCTTATTCTTATCCTTATCCTTCTAGCTAGAGTAACCCAAAATTCACTTTCGTTCATCCGTCTCTCTCTATGTCCTTATCTCTCAAGAATCTTGATGTAGTGAGTAGCAGGTAACTAGGTTTGTGTGTTTGTAACTAGGTTTGTGTGTTTGAGTGTGTTAGTGGGGGTGGCTGCAAATATGGAAAATATATTTGGAAAAAATGGGTTGTGACTTGTGAGAGATCTTTGCAAAGAAAGTATATTGCTGTGTGTGTGTGTGTGTGTGTGTGAGAGAGAGAGAGAGAGAGAGAAGACGGTGAATCTAAGTTATTTGGATCATGGGTTCCTAAGCTTTACAATGTTGAGGTCTTGGATTCTCTATTTGCAGACTTTCTTCGTTGTCTTGCTGTGTTTTCAAGACCACGCATGAAAAATTGCACATAAACAACAAACAATCCATACAAAAGTAGTTGGTTAAAATGTGATGCTAATGGTTTGTACGTAGTTCATTGTAGCATCTATAAGCCTTAATATTGCTCCTTTGTTCTTGCCTGTTTAATTTTGAAGAAAATAATTGATTGAAACGTTTCAATACAATGAAGTAAAAATGATGAATTTCATTGGAAATGAATTAATCAAATCCATCAAAATTTCTCAAGAATCACCTTATCATATTAAAAAAAATCACGGTATCAATTTCTATTTATAACAAAATTGAAAAACAATTATTTTTATTCAAGCATGCATCATATCTAATGAAATTTTTATTATTTTTTTATATCAAGAGTATAAACTCATAAAAAAATTATAGATTTTACACTTTTTTTTATTGTGTTAATAAAGGCTAACACTGTATATATATATATTTGGTTGAAGAAATAAAAATAAAAACATAAAATAAATTTATTTATTAGAAAGCCTTGAAATAAATTTATGTATTTTCAAAAAATAAAGTAAATAAGAGATATATCTTTTTTATTTTCATTTTCTCATGTATATATATATATATATATATATATCGGAGACTAAAATTGGTTGAAGTAACGTCATCGTTAAGTGATAGTAATGGCTATAATTTTTTTTTTTTTTTTTGGGAAACAA